AATGGGAGACAGAGAGCATGAGAGGGGGAGGGTCAGAGGGAGAAGCAGACTCCCCGCCGAGCGGGGAGCCCGATGTGGGACTCGATCCCGGGACTCCAGGATCATGACCCGAGCCGAAGGCAGTCGCTTAACCAACTGAGCCACCCAGGTGCCCCACATTCCAGATTTTTCTTAAATCATTTGCTGCTATTTTTTAAAAATATTTTATTTATTTATTTGAGAGAGCAACCGGGAGTGGGGGAAGGAGCAGGAGAGAGAGAATCCCAAGCTGACTCCGCGCGGAGCCCCCTTCCAGGACCGATCCCACAGCCCAAGATCATGACCTGAGCAGGTATCAAGAGTCAGGCGATTAACTGACTGAGCCACCCAGGCGCCCCTGTTCATTTTTATCTATGGAGTAGGGTACTTCAAAGGTGACTGGGAATCTATGTGAAACACCAAATATGAGGTCTTTCCTCTTAGTTTACTAGTCTGCCTTGGGGCAAAGGATAAACCTGACTGCCAGCATTCCTGAAGCCATCTAGTGGCCTGGGTTTCACTGTTCACTATGCAAGCTTTCACTTATTTTCTCTTTTCAGTAAGATAACTCACCATCAACCAACACATTAAAAGGTCATTTATTTTTTAAGATTTTATTCATTTGAGAGGGAGAGAGAGAGAGTGAGAGCGCAAGGGAGGGGGGTGGGAGAGAAGCAGACTCCATGCTGAGCAGGGAGCCCAATGCAGGACTCGATCCCAGAACCCTGGGATCATGACCTGAGCCGAAGGCAGACGCTTAACCAACTGAGCCACCCAGGATCCCCAAAAGCCATTTATTTTTAACAAGGCATCCATTCACCAGTATTTAATGAATAACTACTGTGAACATTCACAGTGTTTAAGGTGAGACAAAGGTAAGTAAGACATCTTTTCTAAAGGGAAAATGCATTATTTAAGTTGTATGCTATGAAAGTATGACTCTATTGTCAAAAAGAATAAGCCACTAACCTTCCACTGGGGGAATAAATCTCATCATGTTCTCAACTAGCCAGTGGTCTTGTATATGTCTGTATGTATGCATATATGTATAGATACTTTTGACACCTAATGGTATGTAGTATCTTCTCTTGGACCTAGTTTTTAAAATGATAGAAGACTTTTAAACCTTGTGTAGAAACTCTAATTTAGAGAAAAGTAACCAAAGAGAGGAACTGCAAATGCTTCAAGACTGAGAAACCATTAGCCAAACAGGGCTCTCAAGAACACCTTGGATTTTGATACTCATGTGAAAGCCACAGGGGAGTTTCCCAGACCAACCATCATGAACCAACAGGGAAATGGCTCTTGGGATTTCTAGTTAGTACAAACTCTTAACCTATAATGATCCATTTTTATGAGTAGTTGTAGCCTTCTCCTTAGCAGACACTTTTTGTGAACGTTGCCCCTAAGTCCAGAATTATTATATTCCATCTATCCAACAAGAATAAACTGTTGTGCATGTGTAAACAAAGACCTGTTCTTAATGACTGAAAAAATTTAATCCCTCCTCACGGTGGATTCTTTTATTTGAAGCAAGTCAAATAGGTCTCCATCTCCCCTCCCTGTAGTCATCCCAGGCTTTAGATATGAGCTGGAAAGCTGGTCTATTCTTAGAGCAGAAAAAATTTGAGCTCTAATTTTTTAAGTCATATTCAGAGACATGCTTGGGAAAACCTAATGGTCACTGGATCATGATGGAAGGCTATCAGAAAACTCATTAGTAGCAATCCTATTGACAAAACCAAAGAAAAACAATTCATAGAGAGTTCCTGAGACAAAAATTATACTCCAAAGCTCCAATGTCAAGCTGTCTTCTTTGCCCATTGATGTCAGGGATCCTTGTTCTGTTCTCTCATGTAAAGTACCTGACATATAATGATCGCTTGATATTGTTGATTGCATTGTTCACCAATCATTCAAAGCCCTTGCCATCATGGAATTTACATTACAGAGAAAGAGGATAGATAAATTAAATATGAATCCAGGTAATTACAGATGCTATAAAGGAAATAATGTCAGAGGAAGAGTGAGAATGAGATAGAATGTTCAGGGAAGGTCTTCTTTGTGTAGTGTAGACTGAGGAAGACAAGAGTAGAAGGAATGCTTCAGAAGGCCACCATAGTCGTCTGAGTGAAAGATAAGAGTTTGGACTAGTGTGGTAAGAGGAAAGATAGCTTAAAAACAGAAAAGTTTGATTTGGGATATATATGGAAGGTAGCGTTAACAGCACTTGCTGATGGATTGAATATAGAATGGGAGCGAAACAACGAAATAAAGGAGTCAGTGAGGACTCCTGAGTAATTGGAAACAGAGCTTCATGAAGCTTACATTAAGCGTGGGAGGCCTAAGAGGTTGACATATTTGGGAACCTAGGAGTTCTGAGGGTGGGGAAGATATTCTTGATGAATATTCACATGTCTTTTTCATCAGTTTTTGAAAAGAAGCTTTGGTCCTAAAGAGGTGACGCATGTCACACACCTCCTCCAGTTCCTCAAATTACTCGAGACCTGGGAAACGAGTCTCTCTGCCTTTCCCTCTAAAACCAGCCATCTAACTCCACGATGGTGAAAAGGATAGTATTTTCTCAGAGAAGATTCACACTTAAGGTTCCTCATCTCTGAAGTTCTGAATTTCAATATCATACATAGGAATAGCTTTTAGCTTCAGAAATTTCACAGGCCAAAGAACAAGAGTTAAGGAGATTACAAGTACCCTTTGACCCTCAGATCCACCCCTTCTTCAAAGGAAAATCCACTAGTATCTCTCAAGTATCTGGAATGACCACATAGTTAGATCTGAAATAAGAAACACAATGTGGAGTATCTTTAGTTGACTACAGAGTACTCATTAGAATAAACACAAAGCTCATTAAAATGCTCATTTAGAAAAAAAATATTCACCTAATTTGTAATCAATTTTTTAGTTAAAAATTTTACTATACAAATAATGTAGAATTATTTTCACAAAATGCATTTAACTCTCCATCAACTGCTTTTGAGAAATGTGAATTTCACCTTTACATTTTATCAGGCTTTGACTTCCCCTGCCTTCCCTCCCAGTCAATCCCATAGCAATCCCAGTTATCTGACTGAACACCTTTCCGGAAATACAATGTGTGTGGGTGGAACGATTAAACTGCCTGTTTATTTAAGAGTCTGTATTACTATTTGGTGATTTTTAGCGTATTTCTGACTCTGTAAATTAAAAGAGAGTTAAAAGAACGAGATGATACATATAAATTGTTTGGAACCTTACCTTGCAGACAGCATATTATAAATTAAATTATCTTAATATGTAGTATTTAAATTTACTATCCTTTTTGTCATCCTACTACATTCATCTATTGCTGCAGAGAATTCCTTCTCCTGTGGGTATAAATTTCCAATCTGACACTAGGTTCTTTTCAGGGCAAATTTCCCATTCTCTCCTACACTTTCCAATTTGTAAAGACAACTAAAATGTAACCGTCTCCATCTTTTCACATTCCCTGTCTATGTGCTTTTTAACTTCCATTACCACTGATGAATGATATTTATCACACTGTAATCAGGAAACCAAGAAATCAGAACCTCAAATGGCTTCCCCGTGAATTCTTTATCTTCTCTTTATCCTTTTCTTGCTTTATACAAGATCAAGAAAATTAACTACAGTGAGGTCACTTACCTTTCCTTCTTTTAGCTTCAGATAGATTATTTCAAGCAGCCTGCCCTCTCAACTGAAGGTAGGAGTAGGTCTAGATTGGTAGCAGCTGTGAGCCTTCCCTTAATTCCTAACCCAGAAAGGTATCAGTAGTTCATCTATAAAGAGCCTCATAGCTTGACTTTGCTACACATTTGTAGAGAACTATTTCCAAGTAATAAGTACAGTATGAAATTGGATTTTTAACTTAAATGTATCCTAGGCAAAAAACTTACCATATGCAAAATGCTTTAAGGGTAGCAGTATCTCCTCAGTGTGATGGGATGATCCTAGGCGTTTCAAACCACTGGTGGCTCCTGATGACCCAAGATATCCTTCATCTTACTTAGCCCAGATATCCAAGACGTATGGTTTCTTAAAGCAACTTCTATTACAACGATTTTCCTAAAACAGCAGTCTGATTGGCAGTCCCAGTCACATGAACCACTCACACCTGCTCATCACTAGAGGCCATGCAAAACTTACTCTCATCTGCAAACCAAAGAGTCTACCTCCCCAGTATTATCACCATGTCTTTACATTTTAAGACTCACAATTGCGAGCCACACAAAAGGCTACAGCCACTGACCAAACTAGCTGTTTTGTTTCTTGCCTCTAATTTTCTTCTTAATCTTGGCTGCATATTAACCACTCAGAGAGCTCTGGAAAAATGATGCCTGGGTTCCAACCCAAAATATGAATGTAAATGGTGTGTGTCAAGAGGGGTGGCTTAGATATTTGGATTTTTAAAAAAATCCTCAGGTGATTTTAGGATAAACCAACAGGATTACTTATATGTTTCAAAGCACTGAATTATCATGATTCTTTTAAGAAATCTACTTTTCCTTGTAAGAAAGTAGTAGAATACTTGAAAAAAATAATTTTAAGATATTCACATTTTCTGCACCACCACCTCCCCACCCAATAAAATACCCAGGGAAATTAAGTTCTCTGTTTGGAATGATGTTAAAAAGTCCTGACACTGTCAGCATAGGATCAGTCACAGGATGTCTTCATTTCATATGTCACTGTGATGATATTCTCAAATCTAAAGTCTTGATTATATCTAATTGTGTTTTCAGAAATCGCTAGAGTCCTTAACTTAGTCCTAGAGATTCCAGACTATATTACTTCTCTAAGTTCCTAATTTTATGCTGCATATGCATTTATTGTTCTAATTAGTGTAAGGTCCTTCCATCATTATCATTCATGACTCTGTTTCAATAGAAGTTCTTTCTCGAAATAGGTGTTGAAAGCCACATGAATGCAAAAGCTCTGGGGTAATAAACTGGATTCCAACTCAATCAAGTGTTAGAAACTTTTATTGGATTACTTTATATAGATTCTTTTACAAAGTCAAGCTCTTTACTTTCTGGCCCCTTGTGGTCTTAGATTTCATGCCGAGGAAGACTGTGGGCTAACATTAACATCACAAGAAGAAACATGAGGAAAGCAAATGCTGAGCGAGTCTGAACTTGTGCCTCCACTTGGGATACAAAGAGAAAATATGGGCCTGACAGCTCCCCGGAAGGTGAGAGAAGAGAAATTATAAATGAGGGATCTGTTTGTCAAATCATAAAAGGCTATCTGCCCATACTCGCGGTCTAGGAAGACTCCAACTTTGTGCACCTGCTCTCCTCTCAAGAAGACCCTTTTCAGAGGGGGAAAGACCCAGAATGTATAATCAGTTCCCATCATGGAACCTGTGAGTAAGAATTTATCTCCGGAAGCAGCGGGCAGGTTACGAGCGCTGCTGGCAGCATCTTCGGAAATCCCCAACTGCCACTTGGTTGCCTTTTCCACATCCACCTCCCAGTAGTGCCTCCCTGAGGTGAAACCCTCCACACCCAACACGGTGGCACCGAAAACGAATCTCCCCGGGCTGCCAGGAACGTCCTGCTGGACATTTCTGAGACTCACGCTTCTCAGATCCTCAGATAAGACCAGACAGGGATGAGCTGTTTTAGGATCCAAAGTCACAGCTCCTGCGGGGAGAGAGAAATTCAGTTCGATTCGGTTAGAGTCAGCCATGCCACCACCAGAGACTGAGGATGTCTACCACCAAGAGACTTGCCAGTGAGTGGGTACAAGCTGCAGGCACAGATACGGAAGAGGCAATCTCAAAGTTCAGGAAAGGTGACCTCTGAGCTTTGTTTCAAGAACTGGACATCACAGAAGAAGAGGGCAGTGAGATAATGGAAGGAGATGCAATCTGAGGAGGAAGGAGAGTAATGGACTTCACAGAGGTTCTGTCAGAGCAGAAAGGAATTTTGGCAGGCTGTAAAAATGGCATTCAATCCTCGTCACGTATCAGCTGGGAGCCAACTACTCTCCTAAAGACCTCCAAGCCTCGAACTCCAGGCTTCATTCCCCTACAGACTCATTAGAATCTCCTAACAGAGCAGGGTTTTCCCTGTGACTAAACTGCTCTCCCTTAAATATCACCAGAGTGTGACACAGATGCTTAGAAACTGTTGCCAGCAGGCTCTTGATATTGAGTAAATCAAAAGAACGTATTAGCAGAGGCTGGAAAACCTGTGGGAATCCTCCAGAAAAAAATCAAGCTGCAAACAAGAGAGCTCAATGTGATTTCTTATCCTTGAATGACCATGACACTTGCCTTCGTATCTCAAACTGTTCCTTCTCTTATCTCTTTCTCCTCAACTGTTAAATATTGTGATTTCTCAGGGCTTAAGACTGGGTCTTCCTTTTTTACAGTTTGTATTCCTTTCTCCCTAGGTGACTTCACCTAGCCTTAGTTTTAAATATCTTCTATATGTTCATGGCTTACTTCATAATTTTTTTTTAACCCATTAGAATTTTTTTTTTTAAGATTTTATTTATTTATTCGGCAGAGAGAGAGCAGGAGAGCACAAGCAGTGGGAGCGGCAGAGGGAGAGGGAGAAGCAGGCTCCCTGTCAAGCAGGGAGCCCAATGCAGGGCTTGATCCCAGGACCCTGGGATCATGACCTGAGCTGAAGGCAGTCACTTAACCACCCAGGTGCCCCATGGCTTACTTCATAAAGAAGGTGCCAAATACCAGTTAGAAATAACAGAGGCATTTCACACATACTATGTCCAAAATGGAACTTCAAAACTACCCCTTTCCAGTTCTACTTCAGTTAATAGCATACTTATTTCTTCACTTGCTAAACCATAAACCATAAAACCTGGAATAGTTCCTTATTTTTTACTTTAATATCTAATCCAGCAGAAAGTTTTGCTGCCAAATGAACTTACATTTCTGGACTTGAAGCCCAATTCATATCGTTATTAGGGTGGTCTTAAAAGCCATAAACCTTGAAATTTAAATTTAAGTTGTCCCAGGCTTTCAGTATTTCCAGAAGATGGGCAGAAACAAATGCAATTCTCTCTGGAATAATGCATGGATTCATTCTTGGACTCAATTTCTAAAAATAATATCCAAGGAAAAAAGCGAAGCTTACTGTTAAAAAATCAAACACACACTCACAAAGTAAGAAAGCACTATTAAGTGAGACTAGCAGAAATAAATCTGAAGAACTTTAAATACTGGAATTACTACGCACAGAACTAAAATAGTTTTTGCTTACATGTTTGAAGAAAAAAGAAAAGCTTAAAAATACCTACAGGATGTAGGAAGCTAAAAAGTAAGACCAAGTGGATTTGACAAAGAACAGAATAGATTATCTAGAAATGAAAATAAAATTAAAGTATCTATAGATGATTATAAGAAAGCTACAGATCATCATGCCTCAAAACATAAATGCAAAAATTCTTTAAAGTATTAGCATATTGAATCCAGCAATAAATAAAACGGATAAAACATTATTACCAAGAGTTTACTCTGAAGGCAAGTCTGGGCCAACATATGAAAAAATATATTTCACCATATTAATACATGAAGAAAAAATACAAATATTTTGGTAGATATAGAAAAAGCATCTAATATTCAACATCTGTTCATGATAAAAAGTTTTAACAAATCAGGACTAGAGGGAGAACTTCTTAACTTTATGAAAGGCAACTATAAAAAAAACCTACAGCTAACATCAAAGTTCAAGGTGAAAGACTTAATGCTTTCTTGTACCCTAAGATCAAGAAGGAGGCAAATGTTTCTCACTGCTCCTATTCAACACTATATTGGAGGTCCTAGAGCCAGTACCACAAGATGAGAAAAATATAGAAAAGGCTTACATACTGGCAAGAAATAAAACTTCCTGTATTAATAGATTACCTGCCTATCTTTGTAGAAAATCACAAAGAATCTATTAAAAAAGCCACTAGCTCTAATAAGTAAGTTTAGCATAGTCATAAATTACAATGTCAATATATACAAATTTATTTTTATATACCAGCAATAAACTGGAAATGAATGAAATTTCAATTAGAAATGCTATTAACACTAAAAAAAATAAAATATTTAAGGATCCATCTAATATGTACAATATGTTTGCTGAAAACTTCAAAACACTGATGAGTGAAATCAAATAAGACCGAAATAGAAATATATCATCTTATCCCAAATTAATCTATACATTCACTATAACACCAATCCAAGTCTCCATTTTTTTTTTTTTGTAGAAACCAATAAGCTGATTTTAAATTTTTTGTGAAAAAGCAAAGGATCTAGAGTAGCCAAAATTATTTTGAAAAGAACAGATTTGGAGAACTCACATGTCAATTTTAAGACTTCCTATGGAGTAAAATTCAAGCCAGTGTGGTATTAGCAAAAGGATAAACACAATGATCAATGGACCTATTAGAGTCAACATAGACCGGCTTGTACATGCCAACTGATTTTCAACAAAGGTGCTAAGTAAATTTAATGAAGAACAGTGTTTTCACCAAATGATGCTGGAACAACTGGATATATACATGTACAAAAAAGGTGGGGGTGGGAGTTGTACCAGATCTTGAGTCATATACAAATATAACTCCAAAAGAATAACAGACCTAAATGTAAAAACTAAAACTTCTAGAAGAAAAAAATCTTTGAGTAGTAAAAGATTTGTTAGGATGGGACACAAAAACACAAACCATAAAAGAAAAAACTGATAAACTGAATTTCAAAATTTAAAACTTCTGCTCTTCAAAAGGTACTATGAGGTAAATGAAAATATAAATCACAGATTAAAGAAATTGAAGATACACAAAGAAATGGAAAGATATGCAATGCTCATGGACTGGATGAACAAATATTGTTAAAGTATCTATACTACTCAAGCAGTCTCTTTCAAAATACCAATAACATTTTTCAAAGAACTAGAACAAACAATCCTAAAATTTGTATGGAACCACATAAGACCCCGAATGGCTAAAGCAATCTTGAGAAACAAAACTGGAGGGATCACAATTCCAGACTTCAAGGTGTATTAAAAAGCTGTAGTAATCAAGAGAGTATGGTACTGGTACAAAAACAGATACACAGATCAATGGAACAGAATAGAAAACCCAGAAATAAACCCACAACTATATGGTCAATTAATCTTCAACAAAGCAGGAAAGAATATGCAATGGGAAAAAGAAAATGGGACAGCTACATGCAAAAGAATGGAACTGGACCATTTTCTTTCATTATATAAAAAAATAAACTCAAAATGGATCAAACACCTAAATGTGAGAACTCAAACCATAAAAATACTAGAAGAGAACACAGGTGGCAATTGCTCTGACACAGGTCATAGCAACATTTTCTAGATAGGTCTCCTGAGGCAAGGGCAATTCAAGCAAAAATAAATTATTGGGACTGTATCAGAATAAAAAGCTTCTGCACAGCGAAGGAAACAATCAACAAAACTAAAAGACAACCTACAGAATGGGAGAAGATATGTACTAATGACATATATGATAAAGGGTTAGCATCCAAAATATCTAAAGAACTGATACAACTCAACACCCCAAAAAACAAACAAACAAAAATCCAATTATAAAATGGTCAAAAGACATGGACAGACATTCTCAAAATTAGACATACAGATGGTCAACAGACACATGAAAAGATGCTCAACGTCACTCATCATCGGGGAAATGCAAATCTAACTACAATGCGGTATCACCTCACAGCTGTCAGAATGGCTAAAATCAACAACACAAGAAACAACAGGTGTTGGTGAGGATGTGGAGAAAAAGGAACCCCCTTGCACTGTTGGTGGAAATACAAACTGGTGCAGCCACTCTGGAAAACAGTGTGGAGGTTCCTCAAAAAGTTAAAAATAGAACTACCCTACAATCTAATAATCACACTACTGGGCATTTACCCCCAAAATACAAAAACACTAATTCCAAGGGATACATGCACCCCAATGTTTACAGCAGCCAAGATATGGAAGCAGCCCAAGTGTCCATCGACTGATGGATGGATAAAGTGGTGTGCACACGCGTGTGCGCACACACACACACACTGGAATATTTCTCAGCCATACAAAAGGATGAAATCTTGCCATTTGCAACAACATAGTTGGAAAGAGAAAGCATAGTGCTAAACGAAATAAGTCAGTCAGAGAAAGACAAATACCGTATGATTTCACTCGTATGTTTAAGAAACAAAACAAACAAAGAAAAAAAGAGACAAACCAAACAGACTCTTAACTGTAGAGAACAAACTGATGGCTACCAGAGGGGAGGTAGGTGCGGGGGGTGATGGGTGAAATAGGTGAAGGGGACTGAGTACACTTATCATAATAAGCACTGAGTAATGCATAGAATTGTTGAATCACTATATTGTATACCTGAAACTAATATAATATGGTATGGTGACAATATGAGGATTAAAATTTAAAAAATTAATAAAAAATATAAATCACAGAGAGAAAGAAATATTTACAAAACATGTCTGATAAAGGACTGGTAATTGGAATATATAAAGAAATCCCAACATTAAATAATATACAACACAATTTTAAAAATACTGAAAACGTTTATAGATAGACTTCAAAGAGATAAAGTGCAAATAAACACATGAAAATATGCTCAATATCACTAGTTATTTCAGAAATGTAAATTA